TTCCGAGACTCGTACTCACTCACTATTCTGATTCCATTTTCTTTCTTCAGCACCCACGGCTCTTCATTATCTCCTTAAGCTTCTCAATCACAGCAGTTGGATCTGCTCGTGAATTCGCCAAATGCATCGCATACTCCAAACCTTTCCACTTAGCTATAAGCTTGAAATGAGATCTTTGAAACTCGATGCTGATAATCTCAAATATCCTTGTGCTTGGTGTTGCGAGTATTTTTGATTCTTCTCGACGAAGTAGACCAGTGTAGGAGAGGATTCACCTTTTCATCCATCATATACCAATGACGAAAAACACGAAGACAAACAAGCTAGCACATAGTGCACAAATCTTCTTCATGATGTGTATTACATAAACTTTATTACGCCAGTTTGGATCTCCAGACCATTCTAGGAACATAGCATGTCAACAAAAAATAATAATAATAAAATCACATATAGCTTTTTTTGTTGATGTTTTTTTAGTCTTCTAAAAACTACTGATTAGTCAAAAAGTTTACATACATTAATAAGATACAAAAAAGCACAGGAAAAAACTTTTTCTAATGTAGATACAAATTTTCTTCGATTAAATTGATATTATAATTCTGACATGGTGAGAATATGCACATAGTAATAAATGTAGTCAAGCCTACTTTTCTCATCATTCATTTATTTTCTTTTTTAAGAGTTGCTTATTACTATGTTATAAACTCATCATGTACCACTATAAAAACACAAACATTAGAACATATTCACTTCAAACAAAAAAGCAAATAAAATAGCTATATCCTCCTTTTATAATCTCTAATTTATAAAAGAATAGTAACTATTTTTTGTTGTGATATTCATCTTGGTTAAGTTATCATGTTCTTATTTCTTCATGCTCATGCTTGTGTTTTCTGAAAATTTCAATTTTTTCCATTTTTGAACTTCAAATAATTTTTAATTTTAAACTATACATTACAAAATGATCTAAACATGCATATACTTATTATTTCAAATTTTATTTTAAATTATTTTCAGTGGATTCGGAAGCTCATGGAAAACAGTATACTAAGATCCTTCCTCCACTCAATGCTTGTAATCCTTTAAATTGTATTGATAAATCATAAAATGAAGGAGATGGAATATGTGTTATTGGCACAACTGGCAGAGGTCCTCAATGTGTTTGTACTTATACTTGTTAAAGAGGCAAAATTCAAATAATAATGTTTTATAATTAAGAATTTATTTTCTTTAATCTATATAAATAAAATATGGAAGTTCTTCAACTATTTTATGGTTGAATAACAAATTTGAAAAAAAGTTATCAGAAGATTAATACAGTCGCATTTTTGTTATTTTATAAAATATCACGATAAGAATTAGAATAAAATAATTGAATGAACTTCAGAATATATATATATATATATATAAATAAATAAATTAAGTTATATTTATGTGTATCTAGATCAAGTTATCTATCTACACAATACTATTTCCTCTTATGTACTTAAATTTTCAGAAAAATGATTTCCAAATTTCTAATTAATGTACTCAAATTAATTTTTATTATAGGCAGACGTTGGAAAATCTTCAACATAAGGGAACAGAGAAGACTTCATCTTCTTTTCATTTTGTTTTGTATTAGATTCTAATTTATATAATTTTCTGTTACACTAATCCGTTTACATAATTGTGACAATTTTAAACTGATAGAAACATAGATACCGGAGAACGTTTATATCTTACATTACTATATTATTTTATATGAGAGAATTTTTCAGAATTATAAAAGGTTGTAACAAATGGCGTGTAAGATATTTTATCAGCTTGACTATATATCATCAAATCTAGTATACATTCTAATACACTATTTTTTTAAGTATCATCAAATGTATATTCCAATAATTATAATTTGATGATAATAACAATAAATCTACATTAGAAAGCATGTTTAGTACAAAAGGCAAATAACCAATTTACAGTCCGCTTGCCAATCATTTACCCATCTAAAAATAAACCTTTGAAAACATAATTATCATAACTATTATGATTCCGAGACTCCTACTCACTCACTATTCTGATTCCATTTTCTTTCTTCAGTATCCACGGCTTTTCATTATCTTCTTAAGCTTCTCAATCACAGCAGTTGGATCCGCTCGTGAATTCGCCAAATGCATCGCATACTCGAAACCTTTCCACTTAGCTATAAGCTTGAAATGAGGTCTTTGAAACTCGATGCTGATAATCTCAAATATCCTTGTGTGGTGTTGCGAGTGACGAACTAGACCAGGAGACGATTCACCTCCTTTTTCATCCATCAAATACCAAGGAAAAAGAACACAAAGGAAAACAAGCTAGTACATAGTGCACGAGATCTCCTTCATGATGTGTATTACATAAACTTTGTTCCGCCAGCTTGGATCTCCGGACCATTCGAGGAACATAGCATGTCGACAAAAAAATAATAATAATAAAACCACATATAGTTTTTTATTGATGTTTTTTAAATCCTCTAGAAAACTATTGATTAGTCAAAAAGTTTCCATACATTAATAAGAAACTAAAAAGCACAGAGAAAAAATCTCTTTCTAATATAGATACAAATTTTTTTTGATTAATTGATACTATAATTCTGACATTGTGAATATATGTGCATAGTAATAAATGTAGTCAACTCTACTTTTCCCATCATTCATTTACTTTCTTTTTTAGGAGTTTCTTATTGCTATGTTCAAAACACATGATGTACCACTATATAAACACAAACATTAGAACACATTCACTTAAAAAGAACAAAAAAAGAAAAAAAAAATAGCTATATCCTCCTTTTATAATCTCTAATTTATAAAAGAATAATAACTTAGTTTTGTTGTGATATTCATCATGGCTAAGTTATCATGTTCTTATTTCTTCATGCTCATGCTTGTTGTTTTTGGTAATTTCATCTTTTTCCATTTTTTAACATCAAATAATATTTAATTTTAAATTATACATTACAAAAATGATCAAAACATGCACATACTTATTATTTCAAATTTTATTTTATCTTATGAAAATTTTCAGTGATTTCAGAAGCTCAGGGAAAGCAGTGTACTAAGATTCTTCCTCCACTCAATGCATGTAATCCTTCTGATTGTATTGACAACTGCCGGGAATCATACAATGAAGGAGATGGAAAATGTGTTAATGGCACAATTGGCAGAGGTCCTCAATGTGTTTGTACTTATACTTGTTAAAGAGGCAAAATTCAAATAATAATGTTTTTATTAAGAATTTATTTTCCTTAATCTATATGAATAAAATTTGGAAGTTCTTCAACCATTTTATGATTGAATAACAAATTTGAAAAAAGTCTCAGAAGATTACAGTCGCATTTTTCTTCTTTTATAAAATATCATGACAAGAGTTAGAATAAAATAATTTAATGAACGTCAGATAATAAATATATAAAAATTAAGTGATATATATGTGTATCTAGATCAAGTTATCTATCTACACAGTAATATTTTATTTTCTGTACTTCTATTTTCAAAAAAAAAATGATTTCCAAATTTCTAATTAATACTCAAATTAATTTTTATTATAGGCAAACATTGCCAAATTTTCAATACAACTGAACAGAGAAGACTTCATCTTCTTTTCATTTCGTTTTGTATTAGATTTTAATTATAACATTTTCCGTTACACTAATCCGTCTACATAATTATGACAATTATAAATTGATAGAAACATAGATATTGGAAAACATTTATATCCTACATTACTATAATATTTTATATGAGAGAGTTTTTTAGAATTGTAAAAGATTGTAACAAATGGTGTGTAAGATATCCTACATTACTATAATATTTTATATGAGAGAGTTTTTTCAGAATTGTAAAAGATTGTAACAAATGGTGTGTAAGATATTTTATTAGCTTGACTACGTATTATCAAATGTAAATGTAGTATACATTCCAATACACTATTATTTTAAGTATCATCAAATGAATATTCCAATGATGATAATAACAATAAATCTATATTAGAAAGCATGTTTAGTACAAAAGGCAAGTAATCAATTTACAGACTGCTTGCCAATCATTTACCCATCTAAAAATAAACCTTTTAAAACATAATTATCAAAATTATTCTGATTCTATTTTTCGTACTCACTCAATATTCTGATTCCGTTCGTGAATTCACCAGATGCATCGCATACTCCAAACCTTTCCACTTAGCTATAAGCCTGAAATGGCGTCTTTGAAACTCGATGCTGGTAATCTCAAATATCTTTGTGCTTGGTGTTGCGAGTATTCTTGATTCTTCTCGACGAAGTAGACCAGAATAGGAGACGATTCACCTTCTTTTTCATCAATCATATACCAAGGACAAAGAACACAAAGGACCATTCTAGTAACATATCATTCGACAAAAAAAAAAGAATAATAATAAAACAACATATAGTTTTTTTGTTGATGTTTTTTTAGTGCTTTAGAAAACTACTGATTAGTCAAAAAGTTTCCATACATTAACAAGATAAAAAAGCACAGGGAAAAAACTCATTCTAATATAGATACAAATTTTCGTCGATTGAATTGATATTATAATTCTGACATGGTGATAATATGCACATAGTAATAAATGTAGTCAACTCTACTTTTCCCATCATTCATTTATTTTCTTTTTAGGAGTTTCTTATTACTATGTTAAAAACACATCATGTACCACTATATAAACACAAACATTAAAACACATTAACTTTTTTCTTTTTTTAAAGCAAAGAAAATAGCTCTATCCTCCTTTTAAAATCTTTAATCTATAAAAGAATAGTAACTTTCTTTTGTCTACTATTTAGGCAGAATACCATCACCCATTTTTACTTCTTTTGTTGTGATATTTGAAACAACCAAGTTTTTTCAATTAAATCAATACTAGAGGAAATCTTAAAACCAATATATTAAATAAATCAAATCATTCAACAATAATTAGCGAAAGCAAATAAAACAATTAAATAGTTCTAGTAACCTAAACACCAGGTACTAGCAACTTAACCAATGCAAAACAATAAAAGTCTTATCATCCTCTTCTTCGGCCTTGATTCCGCGATCACGTAAACCTTTTACCTGCAACAGATTACGAAAGAGTTACGTAAGTATTATCATAAATAGTTAGTCAGACGATCATCCCTCATACAGACCAATTACATGAGACACTGACACAAGCAAATAACCAATACACAGAAAATAAAAAAACAAACAATTTACTCTTGCGTCGAGCGACACAACTCATGTGTCGGTCGACACACCTTGCGTCGGTCGACGCAGACTCGCAGACAGAAAGCCCACATCACAAAATCGATAAGAAAACAGCAAATAACTGAGATTCAACACCCAAAATCGATCAAATCACCACAATAACTCAAGAACAGCTCAAGAACAACTCAATAACACATCACACAACGAAATCCTAGTGAAACACGAGCCTATGATCACACACTCACCTTGGAAACGGACTGAAACAGAGAAAGGGAGATGAAGCAACGAAGAAGAGCAATGATTCGCCTCTGATTCGACCAAGAACCCCGGATTTCCCACCAAATCGCCTCTGGAACTTCCCATCTTCACAAAACCAGAAAACAAGGTGAAACTTGGCGGCTGCACTCTTTTAAATCAAGAAATTACGGTTTTCAGGCCGTAAACCGGACTAATATCGGACCGGAAATTTCCAATTGCTGCGTCGACCGACGCACATCTTTGCGTCGACTGACGCACATCCTTGCGTTGCCCGACGCAACTTCCAAAACTCCACAAAATGGGCTACGGATGTTACAACTCAACCCCCCGCCCCCCCACACTAAACTGGATTCAACCTCAAATCCTAACACAAAAGATCTCTCAAAGACCACAAAACCCGACCTCGTAAGGCCACAACACTGGAGATCCTCACCTAATCCCCGAGACTCACATACAATCTTATGTTATACGCACGTCTCTAGACATCTTTACTCTTAACTCATCACTTCAAACCACTTGTACTAGGGCCACTACACCCAGACAAGTCTGCACCTACGCAAACTGGGGCCACTACACCCATATGGGCTTGCCACTGTGATATACCATATCTTTCATGTTTTTATCAAGGTTTTCACTATGTTTTTAATACAAATAATGTGGTTTTTATGCCCAAGAGGTAGTTTTCTTGTATATTCTGGTTTTGAGCATCATTCAGGTCAAAATAGCAAAGAAGAGTCCAAAATGGAGCAAAAAGAGTCAAATCACCAAGTTCCCAAGTCTAGAGCACCAAATCTACATTTCTCGCTAAAGACCAAACCGGAGCATCCGAAGTACGACCGCATATTCATGCCTTCCCGACGTCCAAAAGTCATGTTTCTTATATGGAAAGATAGATATTTGAGTCATGACCCGCGGCGAAGTGGAAAGAGGTCATTTGGATCACTCGTTGGACCGGAACTTATTTTCTACCAAGACATGTCCGACGAGCGCCTAAGTAGAGCCCATGGAGACTTTGATGGATCAAGAGGCCCGGATACCGCGCCCAAGGCCTTGGCTCATCTTGACACTAGCATAACTCAATCCAGAAGCTTCCATTGGCCTGAACGCGGCCCATTCAAGAACTTGGAGAGCAAGCTCAAGCGGCTAAAGAGAAATGGAAACTTTCCTCTTCTGCGCGCGCTCAACTTTGCCGACCTAGACCCGCTCTCTACCTATATATACTTGCTTTTAGCCTCTTGTAATAAGAATCACCAGCCGCATAACAAGAAACACTTATTCAATAAAGTTCGGAGCCACTTAGGTGGTCTCCTTCTTCTTTCTTTTCTTCTTTTGCATTTGTATATAGCTTGCATGTTTCAATTTATATAGTCTAGAAGTAGAGATTTCTCCCTAAGGGTGAGGCGTGGTTTAGTCTATATTCCGCCGCCTCTCTCTCTAAGGATTCATGAGACTTCATCTACTATCTAAGACTCATTGTTGAATTATGGATCCTTCCAATGAGGACGTGATATAATGGCCATCTTGAATCGATTGTTAAAAGGGGAAACCCTATGGTTCTCCATCTTTATTTATGCTTAATGCTTGTTGCTAGAGTAGCTAACTAGTGACTTGATTTTAGGTTGATATACTCTCCAAAAGCTTGTTATATCTCCGGACACAATATTTGATGGGCAAATCGTTTTAGGCTACGAAAGTAGACCTAAAGAGGCTAAAACTGTACCACTATATTTGATATAGTGGATGATTAAAATTAACTAATAAAGTAGAAGAAGAAAGTGTGATAGAGAGAGAGAGAGAGTTACGTATGTGAGAGAGGGAGATGAGATAGGTTTCTTATTATTGGAGAAGGAGGATGGAGAGGTAGGTTTATACGTGGAGAGAAGAAGAGTGAAATGGATGTAATGCATGTCTCACTCTACAATGACCAACGAAAGCTGAGCCCATTGGTTTAAGAGACATAGGGGATTGGAACCACGAAAGTGGAATAATCCTTCCTTAGTGTTTTGAGTTCAAAAGAATCGGATTTTAACAAACTTTTCAATCGACTTGGCTCATGTTTTCAAAAGAGTTTTCAATAGTTCAATAATGTTGCTTGTATAGAATTGCATTGTTATTTGCTTTTGCGTGTTCTAAACAAACACAAACCCTTGCATCTTTTGATTTAGCTTAGTCATTTAAACTCTATGATTATGTAATGTGTGAAATCCAATCCCTTGTGGTTCGACCCCTAAATAAATACTACAATTATATGTTGTGCACTTGCAACACTAGTTGTCTTAGGGAATTATTACTTGTACTCATCCCATAGATGCCGCATCAAGTTTTTGGCGCCGTTGCCGGGGATTGCATCATAAACACTTGCATAGTCTTGTTTAAAACTAAGTCTAGATCTTGGTATTTTCGAATACTAACTTTTTCTTTTTAAATCTTGTGTTTATAGGTACTTGGAGATGAATCACAACACCAACATCCACTTTGGGAACCGGACACTGATCCCACACGATCTCCACGGCCGGAGTTACCAAGACCCAGCCATAAGCATCGTGCCACATCCGTTCCCTCCCAACCGCGCTCATCCGACGTTTGAAGGACCTAGCCGAGACGAGCATCATTACCATCATCATCAAAACCGACCTCCGGTTTATCATCAACCACCTAGACCAGTGTTGCATTCACACCACGACCATGTTCTCAATAGGCGGAGAGATAGCCATTTCGATGCCGTGCTTGAGGGTTTCATGGAGAGCCAAAGAAGAACTAGCCGCGACATTGAGACAAAGCTAGAGTTCACGCGATACGAACTAGATGGAAGACTTGGAGAACTCTCTACCCAAATAGAGAAAGTAGAGTCAAGATGCTTGGACATGGAGGAAGATTTGAAGAAGCAAGGCGAGGCCATTGAAGACAATAGGAGAGCGATACACTTTACCAAAGTTTCTACCAAGGAGATGGATAATCACTTAGATGAGAAGATCTCAAGTCTTGATAACAACCTCGATGGCACCACCAAGAGTCTCAATTCAATAACAGCAGTAGCTCATCAAGCTAAGAGGGAGGTAGCCGAAGTGACACTAAAGGAGAGGCAATGTTACTCGACAATGCTTACATTGGTGGAAGGGCAAAAACAAGTGAAGGCACAAATCCGAGATTTACACATCTCTCTAGACAAGAGGAGCCAAGATATTCAAAGAAGAGCTAGAGGGCTTGAAGACAAAGTAGATGGAGTCTCCAAGGAAGTCAAGGATTTAACCACTCGCTTAGCCAACTTGGAAGAGAAGGTCTTGACCGAGACAAAGACGACCGTTCCTAAGCAAAACTATGCCGCGTCCGTCTTTACTATAAGAGAGACCGACCCAAGAGTGATATGGGATGAAGAAGAAAGTAGAGCTGATCAAGAAAGAGCCACAAAGCTAACCACTGGAACAAGAGGGAAGATAGCACCAAAAGGAAGAACCCTTACTCAAAGATCTTCACAGCCGCCTCCCACCAAGGAGAAGAGGAAGATAAGATCATCACTTGAAGAGATCATTGATGATTTCAACTTTATGGCGAGGAGATTCCCTTATGGTGTGACGTTTGATAATGCTTGCAACAAGAGGTTTACTAATAAACAATTAAATAGTTCTAGAAACCTAAACAATAGGTTTACTAGCAACTTAAACAAATAAATAAAACAATCCTATCATCCTCTCCTTCGGCCTTGATTCCGCGACCACTTAAATCTTTTACTTGCATCACATTGCGAAAGAGATGCATAACTATTATCATAAATACTTAGTGAGTGGATCATCCCACCTATATGCCAATTACGTGAAATATTAAACAATCACACAACAATAAACAGCAACAAAAGGGCAAAACAGACAATTTACACTTGTGTCGAGCAACGCAAACCTTGCGTCGGTCGACGCAGACAGAAACATGAAATCGCACAAAAACAACAAATTAAGGGAATTCAACACCCAAAATCGATTATAAACTCAAATCAAACATGAACCCAACAAGAACTCATCATAAACTCAATCAAACAATCAATTTCTAGCGAATCACGAGCCTATGGTCACACACTCACCTTGAAAACGGATTTGAAAGAGGAAAGAGAGATGAAGCAACAAAGAACATCAACAGATCCGCCTCAGATTCGCCCAAGAACACCCCAAATCTCTCCAAAATCGCCCAACTCTCCTCATGAACTTCTCCTTTTCGCAAAACGACCAAGTGAGGAAGAAAAACGGCTGCTCCTTCTTTAAACTCGAAATCAGGGTTTTCAGGCCCTAAACCGGCCAAAACCGGACTTAAATTGAAATGGGTCGATTTTGCAATTGTTGCGTCGACCGACGCCCACCTTGAGTCGCCCGACGCAACCTCCAAAACTCCAGAAAAAGGGCTACGGATGTTACACTGGCCACCCCAATCCAACACACACATCCTCAGCAAATCCTCCAAAGTCTGAATAGTCCTCTCTGACTGACCATCTGTCTGCGGATGATAAGCTGTACTCAAATGCACCTTAGTGCCCATCTCTGCCTGAAACGCCTCCAAAACTCTGAAGTGAATCTGGGATCACGGTCTGACACAATACTAGCTGGCACTCCATGCAGCCTCACAATCTCTCGCACAAACTTCCTAGCCAAAACAGCAGCTCCATCTGTCTTCTTGATGGCCAAGAAATGTGCGGACTTAGTCAACCGATCCACAATCACCCAGATAGCATCGAAAGTCCTGAAACAGGTAGTCCAACCACGAAATCCATCGTAATCATGTCCCACTTCCACTCTGGAATGGGTAAACTCTGCAAAAGACCACCCGGAACCTGATGCTCTGCCTTCACCAAGGCACAAGTGTTGCACTTCGCAACCCAATGCTACATCTCTCTTCATCCCGACCCAATGATAGTACCTCTTGAGGTCATGGTACATCTTGGTCACTCCCGGATGAATGGAAAACTTGCTCGAATGAGCCTCTCTCAAAATCTGATGTCTCAACTCCACATCCTTAGGCACACAAACTCGCCCACGAACCAAGATAGTCCCATTCGCAGAGACCTCATACTCAGAACCAGTCACTCGTCGCATCTAGCAAACTCTGATCACTCTGCTGAGCAACTCTGATCCTGCTAAGTAGATCCGCCTGATCCACTGCCTAAACCCAAAGGCTCCTGCGAAATGGCACACAAACGCAAGGTACTGATCTCGCCAACCTAGAGACTCCACATCTCGCTCAACTGAATCATACCTCCGTCTACTCAACGCGTCCGCCACTAGGTTAGCCTTGCCCGGATGGTAGTTAATGCTCACCTGATAGTCCGCCAAGAACTCAACCAGCGCGTCTGTCTCGCGTTCATCATCGGCTGAGTGAAGATATGCTGCAAACTCTTGTGATCTGTAAGACCTGTACTGTCTCACCCAATAAGTAAGACCTCCAAATCTTCAACGCGAAGATCACTGCTCCCAACTCTAAGTCATGTGTAGGACGGTTACGCTCACTGCCCTGCCACTGTCTCGAAGCATATGCTATCACTCTGCCCTCCTGCATCAGCACACAACCAAACCAATGCCTGAAGCATCTGTATACACCATGTAAGGCTTCCCTGGCTCGGGTAACGCCAACACTGGTGTAGTAGTCAACATCTCCTTGAGCTGACTAAAGCTCTCCTCACACTCAGCTGACCAAACAAAAGGGACATCCTTCCCGGTCAACTTCGTCATCGGCTGCGCCATGGTAGCAAACCCCTTGACGAACCTCCTGTAGTATCCTGCCAAACCCAGAAAACTCCTGATCTCTGTGGCACTACTAGGTCTAGGCCAATCTCTGATAGCCTCAATCTTAGCCGGATCCACAAAACTCCCTCTGCAGAAACAATGTGGCCAAGAAATCCCATCTCTCGCTGCCAGAAACTGCACTTGCTCAACTTAGCAAAAGCTTCTGCTCCCGAAGCTTCTCCAGAACCAACCTCAAGTGAGTCGCATGCTCCTCCTGACTCCTCGAGTATACCAGAATATCATCAATGAAAATGATGACAAACACATCCAAATACTCCCTGAACACGTCGTTCATCAATCTCATGAAGGCTGCCGGCGCGTTAGTCAAACCGAAAGGCATAACCACAAACTCAAAATGCCCATAACGCGTCCTGAAAGCAGTCTTCCTGACATCTGCCTCATCTATCGGGATCTGATGATACCCGATGCCAAGTCAATCTTGGAGAACCAAGTAGCACCCCTCAACTGATCCAACAACTCATCAATCCTCGGGAGTGGGTACCTGTTCTTCACAGTGACTCGGTTAAGACCTCTTAAATCGATGCACAATCTGAAACTCCATCCTTCTTCTTCACAAACAACACCGGTGCTCCCCACGGTGAAACACTCGGTCGAATGAACCCCTTAGACAAAAGGTCCTCTATCTGCTTCTTCAGCTCTGCCAACTCAGCTGGCGCCATCCTGTAAGGCGTCTTATCGGAGTCAGATATGGTGGTAATCCCTTCAGCGACCGAAACACATCCTCTAACTCCTGGACAACCAGATATCCTCAATAGCAATCTGTGGTGTACATACCACCTCTATACTCCGTCAAAATACTCAACCAAAGTCCCTCAAGAAACCTCTGCATCAGCTGATATTAATCATCCAAGCGTCGGCCGGCATGCACTATCAGCTTACTAAACTCGGCATCATACTGGCGAACAGAATGATCACCCTGCGATATCAACATAAACCGCAAGTGAAAACGAACATGCGCCTCTCGAGGAAAGTACTTGGCGTTGAATTCCGCAAGGAACTCACCCCAAATTAACATTGCCTCCGGCCCTTAGTGGCCCACCACCACAAATGTGCGTCCCCATTCAGATAGTTGACTGATCTGATTCTCCAAAGGACATTTGATCAACCAGAAGTTCAGCTCTAGTCCCTGACGCCACGCGTCTGCCTCCTCTGGACCAACTCCGCCCTCAAAGAACAGTGAACCAATCCTCTGCATCTGCCCCATCATCTCTAGATAGGGTAGAATACCGCCAACAGCAGCCCTCGGCTGCTAAGCCATGCAGCTATCTGCTGCACCTCTGCCACTGGAGCCAATGGCGGAAATTGTGCCAATAGCTGTGTCAGCAACCTACCCACCAAGTCATCATCACCCTGTGCTGGAACAGCACCCGCAACTGGACCCGCCCCGACTCCCACGTTCTCACTAGCGCCCACACGGCATCACCTTCAACTGGACCCGCCACCAAAGCAGTCGCCACACTCGGTGTTGCACTCTCTCCTGAATCCACCGGAAGTCCACGACCCTGACCTCGGTCTGCTCGGTCTCCAGCTCTACCACCAGCTCTGTCGCCACGGCCAACTATACCGCTAGCACCGCGATCTCTCGTACCATGACCTCTAGCTACTCTATCCATCTAACTGCATGAAGCAGTAGATGAGCAAGCTAGAACACACACAAAAAAAGATAACAGAAACAAACAAAAAACTCACCGCGGAATCTCCTGGAACTCGAAGAGGATGATACTAAAACTTATCAATTCTAGCAATCTTAGCACTCATAAAATCGTCTAGACTCCCATACCAAAATGAAACAACTAATTTTTTTTTATATATAATTAAATCAATACTAGTGGAAGTCTTAAAACAAAATAAATTAAATAAATCAAATCATTCAACAATAATCAGCGGAAGCAAATAAAACAATTAAATAGTTCTAGTAACCTAAACACCCGGTACTAGAAACTTAAATAATGCAAAACAATAAAAGTCCTATCATCCTCTTCTTCGGCCTTGATTCCGTGATCACTTAAATCTTTACCTGCAACACATAACGAAAGTGTTGCGTAAGTATTATCATAAATACTTAGTGAGACGATCATCCCACCTACATGTCAATTACATGAGACACTAGACAAGCAAACAACCAATACAAATCAAATAGAGGGAAAAACAAACAATTACTCTTGCATCGAGCGACACAACTTCTATGTCGGTTAACACACCTTGCGTCAGTTGACACATACTCGCAGACAGAAATCCCACATCACGAAATTGACACGAAAACCGCAAATCAACGGGATTCAACACCCCAAATCGATCAAATCACCACAATAACTCAAGAACAGCTCAAGAACAACTGAATACCACAACACACAACAAAATCCTAGTGAAACACGAGCCTATGATAACGCAATAATCTAAGAAACGTATTGAAACAGAAAAAGGGAGATGAAGCGACGAAGAACAGGAATGATTTGCCTCTGATTCGACCAAGAACACCTGATCTCCCACCAAATCGCCTCTGGAACTTCTCCTCTTCACAATACGACAAAACAACAAGAAACTCGGCGGCTGCACTCTTTTAAATCCCGAAATCAGGGTTTTCAGGCCCTAAACCGGACTAATATCAAACCGAAAATTTTCAATTACTGCGTTGCCTGACTCACATCATTGCGTCGCCCGACGCAACTTCCAAAACTCCACAAATTGGGCTACGGAGGTTACAACTCTACCCCCACTAAACTGGATTCGACCTCGAATCCTAACACAAAACATCTCTCAAGACCATAAAACCCGACCTCGCAAGGCAACAACACTGGAGATCCTCACCTAATCCCCGAGACTCACATACAATCTTATGTTATACGCACGTCTCTAGACATCTTTACTCTTAACTCATCCGCTCAAACCACTTGTACTAGGGCCACTACACCCAGACAAGTGTGCACCTACTCAAATTGGGGTAACTACACCCAGATGGGCTTTCCACCGCTGCTTATACTGGGGCCACTACCTCCAGATAAGTCAGCCACGACGTATACCGAGACCACTAAATAAGTCATTCATACTGAGGCCACTACACTCAAATGAGTCTGTTAGAGAACTACTGTCTCCAAAACTGTAATGAGTTATTCAGGACCGCAACTCTTAGAGTAAAACTGGCAGAGGTCTTCGTTGTGTTTGTACTTATACTTGTTAAAGTGGCAAAATTCAATTAATAATATTTTATAATTAATAATTTATTATCCTTAATCTATATGAATAAAAATTGGAAGTTCTTAAATTTTATGATTGAAAAACAAATTTGAAAAAGTCTCAAATGATTACCGTCGTATTTTTGTTATTCTATAAAATATCACGGCAAGATTTAGAATAAAATAATTTAATGAACTTCTGATGTGAGTCAGGTTTTACCAAACTCTTTATACCTCTCCAAGTGCACAAATCGTAGCAGTATGGGTATCGAACACAAGGACAGGCTATTGAGTACACTTTGAAAATAAAGATTTCGGCGCAAGCTAAAACAAAAGTATGATTGAGAGATTGTAACTGTAACTAAAAGTAACCAAGTAAACGAGGTGTAAATTCAGTAGGGAGAAAGCGCTAGGTCAACAGGGGCTAATCGCAGAGAAGCAAGCAATGATCTATGACTCAATGATAGATGATATGATTTAGGGATATGGGATAATAAAACCGTCTAGAACACAGATCACGAATGTAAAACCTTTCCATGGATCAGGGATGATTAAGTGGTATGTTCGGGCCGGACGCGAGACGTTGGTCTTCTGGTCGGACATTGCACTCATGCGCGGTGTGCGGATTGTGGGAAGTGAGCGGGTCGAGAGCGGGACGATGCTTCCCGGTTCGGACAATACGGTCGTGCACATTGCTGGGCGCTGGATTGGAATGGGTCGACCGCGAGGCTTTGCTTCCCGGTTCGGTTTGTGCGCTCGGCCGCGGAGAATACTGGATAAGTAGTGGTGTGCTGTGCGGGTCAACCTCGGGACGATGGTTCCTCGGGCAGTCGATGCGCGCGGTCTTGGGCGCCGAGTGACTACTAGCGCGGTTCCGGCTGTCTGGACCAGACTTCACTAATGCGATCATAACTCCATTTCTACTCATCCAAATGATACGAATCCACTTGTGTTGGAGAGTTAACTCACTCAAGGCACGCGGCGAAGTGGTTTTGATGAAATCCATTGAGTAGATAATTTTTAAGGCCTTCTCAAAGTTGATGCTTTGGTATGGAGCGGGATGAAGTCCAAATCTTGTAGTTTTGCTCCAAAATGCATCATTCAACCTGCTAAGACTCTTAGTATACTATAAATCAAATAAAACTATCTTTTTAGATTGAAAACCTCCTAAAAAACATTAGAAAATTATACTAAAATAGTATAAAAAGCATGTAAAATAGAGGTATATCAAGATAGCTCGGTTTCATGTTAGATTTTGGGCTGTCTCTAGGTCTTCGGTTCTACGATCGCTAGAACATTATGCTGGATGTTTGGACGCTGTGGGCTTCGATTGGTTTTTGTGAATTTGATGTCCTGCTTCTTCCCGGCTCGTTCTGGCTCGTCCCATTTATTCCCATCCCATTTTATCTCATCTCTTTCATTTCCTTTCCATTATGCCTCGTCGTGTTTCTTCTTGTTTCATTCCGCTCCATCTAACTAATTACCTTCCCGTTTTGCATCATCCCGTTCATTTTCTTATTATTTTATTATTTCTATATAAAATATTAAAATTAATTTGATAAAACTAAAATTATTAACTTAAAATTTATTTAGATCAATATTCAAACTATTTTCTTATACAAAATGACTTTTCAAATTTAGTTATGATTAAATGATAGTTATTATGATTGAATAATAAGTATAATAAATTATAAGTTTTAATAGAGAATTGGAAAAGCAGAGTGTTGACGTGTCACGTTCTGAAGACCTCTCTTTGCTGACGTGTCATGCTGAGAAAAGAACTGAACTTTATATATATAGATACTAAAAACTCAGATAAAAATCTTCCATTTAAAATCCCATTACGATCAAATTTGTATTGTCTACTTTCTTCAGAGATCCTAAGCTGTAAATTATGGCGAGAATTGTACTTGCACTGTTAATTATTCTATCTCTATATCATGTCCCTTTGTAGAGAGAAAAGTAGGTATCTTTTACAACATTCATGTCACGTATGTTAGCTTATATACTAACAAGACTGTTGTTTTGGTTCAAACATAAAAAAAAATCGTATATTGTTTTACTTGGGATCTCACTCGCATGGCCTGAAATTTTCCCCCTCAGCCCTTACGCGTGTAGCTGAATCTCATCACGAGTTTCTGTGATCTTTTTTGGAAGGTAGCATAATATATATGATTTCATGTTGATCTTCTTTATGTGCCTCATGCCTGTATTCTTAGTGTTTGTTTGATCTGATCCCCATGCATGATCTTACAGTCATGAGAAGGCTAGAGACGCAATCTTTTACTTCTACAAAAGATACACAATGGCTTTGCAGCCATTCTTGAAGAAGAAGAAGCCGCTGAGATTTCAAGTAATTTCAAAACTCTCTCTCTCTTTCTCTTTTGAGTTACTTAGAGAATCTAATTATGTTGTGTTTGAATGAATTTAGAGCATCCAAATGTGATCTTTGTGTTTCCAGACGAAGGCAAGAAGTTGCACACAACACATTCATGGGAGTTCAAGCAGATGAAGAGGAAAGGTGTGATCCCTTCAAGCTCCGTGTTGTCAAAAGCAAGATTTGGTGAAGACACAATCATCGGCTCCCTCTTCCTTTACATACTAATTTTACAACACTAAAACCAACTATATTGTGGCATCAGGTGTTGGGTCCGAATCCCAAAGCTTTAGAGCAGATGGACTTGGACATGTTCTTTCTCGATGGAAAGGAATTTGTGAGATTGCTGAAAATGTTCGCTGCAACAGGTTCTTGACTCATGATTCTTGGTGTATACATGTCTCGATGGTAAATGTTTATGATATAACTGATACAAGAAAAGATGAGCAGGTAGCTTATAGGGGCAAGGTATTTCAACAAAGGGTTCTTGGATTCGTCTGGTATCAAAAGCAATTCTTCCTTTGAGTCGGCATGTGACCATGACGGCCATGGAACTCACACGCTCTCGACTGCAGGGGGACACTTTGTCCCTGGAGCTAGCGTTTTAGGTGTAGGCAACGAGACTGCGAAAGGAGGCTCTCCATTGTCTAGAGTAGCCTCTTACAATGTCTACTGGCCTCCAGTGAATGGAAACACATGCTTTGGTTTTGATGCCTTGGCTGCCTTTGATATGGCCATTCATGATGGTGTTGATGTCCTCTCCATCTCTCTTGGTGGTTCTCCTGCCGATTATTTCAGCGACGGCCTTGCCATTGACTCCTTCTATGATGTTAAACATGGCATTATTGTGGTATGTTCTGCTGGAAACTTTGGCCTTGATCCTGCTTCTGTCTCGAACGTTGCCCCTTGGATACTCATAGTCGCAGCAAGCACGCTTGATCGTGAGTTCCAATCATTTGGGCAGCTTGCAAATGGTGAACGCTTCAAGAGATTAAGCATGTCGAAACCATTGATGCCAGTAGGGAAAACGTACAGCCTCCTAACCGGTGCTCAAGCTAAGCTTGACAATGCATCAGCTGCAGATGTGTAAGTTGAAAACTTTTGAACATTCCTTCATCTCAATATGTTGATACTCGATCATTTTCTTTGACTTGTACTATGAATCTTTCAGGATGCTTTGCAAAGAAGGCACACTAGATTCGAACAAGGCAAAGGGGAAGATGATGGTGTGCCTTAGAGGTAATACATCGAGAGTGGACAAAGGGACACAAGCAGCTCTAGCTGGTTCTGTTGCAATGGTTCTGTGTAATGATAAGGCATCCGGGAATGACATCACCGTGGATCCTCATTTTCTTCCTGCTACACATATCAAGATCAACGAACAAGCTCCCTTCTCTTACGTTAACTCTACTTAATATGCCTCTCAGTCCCATATCCTTGTTTTGTTATATACTGGACTGCTTCATTATTTGCTTACATTGTTGAATCATTTCACATTTTATCTCCCATGGCGTCTCTTACTTCACTTGTAGCAGCTTTTGGCATTAAACCAGCCCCATACATGGCTGGTTTCTCAGGGACCTAACTCTGTTACTCCCGGGAATCTTCAAGGTTGTTTCTTTATCTTGTTCCCTCATAATTCATTCTCCCTGTTTCTTGATGCTCACTTGATAGTATGGTTTATTTTTTATTATTAGCCTGATGTGACTGCTCCTGGAGTTGACATCATAGCCGCCTACACAAGAGAACAAAGTCTAAGTGGTTTGAAATCTGATCTTTGCACGACTGCTTTCATTACAGAATCTGGCACTTCCATGTCATACCCTCATGTTGCTGGTGTTGTTGGTCTTCTCAAGACAATGCACCCTTCATGGAGTCTAGCTGCAATCAGATATGCCATCATGACCACCGGTATATATAATACATGCTTAATATCACCTCTCCTTTTAGTCTTTCTTAGAGATTCCCTTTATTCACTCATGTGCATGCAGCAAGAACACGAGACAACAAAGTAAGTCCAATGCTCAACAGATCATACGTGAAGGCAAATGCATTCAATTACGGATCGGGACATATCAGACCAAACTGTGCAGGAGAATCAGGATTAGTCTATGACTTGACAGTGCACGACTACTTGGACTTCCTTTGTGCTGCTGGCTACAACGAAACAATGATCAAGCTCTTCTCGGAGAGTCCTTTGCACAAATGCTCCAAGAAAGCAAGTGTGCTAGACTTGAACTATCCATCCATCACTTTGCCTGATCTCTCTGGTTCCGTGATTGTGACCCGGAAGCTGAAGCACGTAGGATCCGCAGGCACTTATAGAGCAAGAGTTCGGGAGCCATATGGAGTGTCGGTGAGAGTTGAGCCAAGTGTGTTGGAGTTTGAGAGCGTTGGTCAAGTTAAAAGTTTTAAGATAACATTGAAACCCAAATGGACTACAAAAGGTTACATTTTTGGAGGTCTCACATGGAGTGATGGCATTCATTTTGTTAGAAGTCCTATTGTTGTCTCTACGCTGTTCAAAAAGGTGGCGCGTTATCCGCTTAGTCGGTTGAAAAGTCGGTTTTGCTGTGGGACCGTGGCAGTCTCAGGAAATCGCTCTCAAATTTTGGTTCCTGAAATTATTATGCCCATTTGTGAAGCCTATTCAGTTTAATCATGTTTTAGCTTCTTAATTAGTTTGTTTTAGCTTCTTGATTAGTTTCTTACGGACATTTCCTCTATACCAACTGAAATATACTTTATAGCATTAGGACATGGGTTAGTTTTGTTTCTTATTCTAATGTTCGTTATTTGTTTTTAATGTTCGAGATGTTATGGTTTATTTTCTTCAAGAAAAGTATGTCTCTTGCTCTGTTTTTTATTTTTATTTTTTTAATTTTGGGAATACAATTCGATATTATGTATTAACATCTAATTTTAATATTTTTTTCAGGTTGGTAATTAACTACTATTAAGTTTTAACAATCTAATAGCCCACTACACATTCACTATTTGATCATTGAAGAACATGAAGATAAGAATTATAATTCTTTTTATTATATTTGGTATCTTCTTTAAATGATTAATATAATATCTATTTTGTAGATCATGTGAGTGGAGCTATTTTTATCTTTTAGATTAGATGTAAACTAGAAAAAAAATATTTAAACTAATTTAGAAGTATAGGATTTTGTTATTAATATGTTATTTTACATATACAAATGTCAACTATAAAATATCAAAAATATACTAAAAATTTCTCTTCTTCCATTTAATTCCGATTTTGAAAAATCACTAAATGCAGTCCGACTAACGCCCATCGATTTTTTTCTAAAAGTAGTCTCTTCCCTTTAAGTTGATAAAAGGTTTCTTTTTAATTCAGTCTTATAACTAAATACTCATATTATGTAAGACAAGAAAAAATGTGTCGGTTAAATTGATTTCGTGAGCTGTAATGTGGAATGTGGAATGTGGACCATGCAAGTCACTTTCCTTTATTTGATTACCGCTAAATTAGTATTATGGTTGAATTATTTGTGAGACGCGAAAACAATTAATGATGTGTTTAATCCCCACTTTAACTCGACAAAAAAGGGTAAAAGCGACATTTACTTCTGCACCAGCTAGTTATTTGTTATCACTTGTTCTCTCATCACTCTGAATAAGGAAAGCAATCAATCTCAGTCTCTCTCTCTCTCTCTCTCTCCGCACAGACGAATGATGATCTAATCTCTCTTCGTTGATCTGATGCGACGATGGTGAAGTTACGCAATCTTGTTCTTTTCTTCATTTTCCTCACCGTCGCTGCTCCTATCCTCCTCTACTCCGATCCTGCCGCCACCTTCAAGACCCCATTTTGTAAATTCTCTCTCTCTCTCTCTCTCTGTCATCTCCGATTTGCTCTATTTGGTTTGTCTTCTTATTCCCATGTAATTCATTCTGTAGCTAAGCGCGATTTCCTGGAGGACGTAACTTCTCTGGTCCGTATTACTCTCTCCTTTTCTTCTTCTTCTTCTTTCTCCATTGCTGCGTTTTCGAGGTTTCCTTCTTACGGCTTTATTGTTTCTTTCTTCAGACTTACAATTCCGACGAGAATCGTTTAAATCTGCTTCCCCGGGTAATTTATAGTTCTTGTTTTCATACGCCTCAGATCTTTACATCGTTTCTTAATTTTGCAATCTTGTTCAACAAAATGCGTATAGGAATCTCCGGAAGTGGTTAGAGGACTCGCCGGTGTAGTCTATGCCCAACAAAATTCGGATTCGTCTCTAAGTGAATCTTCGCAAAGGCAAGGTAACTGCAGTTCAATTTCTCTTGCTTCTTTCTATTTTTTCGCCTCTAATTTTTCACGAGTCAGTTCACAAGATTTTCCCTTTTTATCAGAAGCGAGAGACCAATTGTCTGCTCGAGTTCTTTCGACCACCGACGATGAAAATCAGTCTCAAACCGAAGATCCCATCAAACAAGTCACTGATGCAGCCTCAGAGTTGGATAAGCCAAATGATATGCACGCTTCTGATGACAACTCTCAGAATAAAGTACGTTTCTTTTGAATGGTGATACATTTGACTCTATGCTTGCTAGTATAAATTAGGTGAACAAAACTTTTCCTTTGTGGTAGAATGTTCTTGCAAAATCACCAACTTGCTGCGGCTGCTTTGGCCCTCGATGTTGTTGTGCCGAAATTATCTCTGTACTCTCACTAATTTGTGCATCGATCTCATCATCATGTAGGAAAGGATGCATCTTCAGTTGACCCAGCAAACCTCTAAAAAGGTTGATGAGCAAGAGCCTAAGGCACTTGGAGCTGAAAAAGAAAGAGGAAATGTGTTAATGACTGATGCTAAGGTGAAGCATCTTAAAGATCAGCTGATTAGGGCAAAGGTTTATCTTTCACTCCCAGCTGCAAAGGCTAATGCGCATTTTGTGAGAGAGCTTCGAGTCCGGATTAAAGAAGTTCAACGGGCACTGGGAGATGCATCCAAGGATTCGGATCTGCCAAAGAAGTAAGTGTCTTCGGAAATGCAGTTAAATGACCAGTTGAAATAAAGTTCCTTTCTGTGATTTTTTTTTTTAAACCCAGTGCCATAGAAAAACTGAAAGCAATGGAGCAAACATTGGCCAAAGGCAAGCAGATCCAAGATGACTGTTCCACAATGGTAAAGAAGCTGCGTGCAATGCTCCACTCGGCAGAGGAGCAGCTACGGGTCCATAAGAAGCAAACCATGTTCTTGACACAATTGACTGCTAAGACGATTCCAAAGGGCCTTCACTGCCTCCCTCTACGCCTCACTACCGATTATTATGCTTTGAATTCGTCTCAACAACAGTTCCCAAACCAGGAGAAACTAGAAGATAATCAGCTGTATCACTATGCCCTCTTCTCTGATAATGTTTTGGCTGCATCCGTTGTTGTTAACTCTACCATAACCAATGCCAAGGTAAGAGTTAACTCTCTTCATCTGATTGAACATTTAAATATGTTTCTTTCTGTGAAACTTACTATCTTAGATTTTGATCCGCAGCATCCCTCAAAGCATGTCTTCCACATCGTCACGGACAAACTCAACTATGCGGCAATGAGGATGTGGTTCCTGGACAACCCACCGGGCAAAGCCACCATCCAGGTTCAGAATGTTGAAGAGTTTACATGGCTGAATTCAAGCTACAGCCCTGTTCTCAAGCAGCTTAGTTCTCGATCGATGATAGACTATTACTTCAGGGCCCACCATACAAATTCAGATACGAACTTGAAGTTCCGGAATCCAAAATACTTATCCATCCTTAACCATCTTCGTTTTTACTTGCCTGAGATCTTCCCGAAGCTCAGCAAGGTGCTCTTCTTGGACGATGATATAGTTGTGCAGAAGGACCTTTCTGGTCTTTGGTCAGTTGATCTGAAAGGTAATGTCAACGGTGCTGTAGAGACTTGTGGGGAAAGCTTTCATCGCTTTGACCGTTATCTCAACTTCTCAAACCCACTCATCTCCAAGAATTTTGACCCTCGAGCTTGTGGTTGGGCTTATGGGATGAATGTCTTTGATCTGGACGAATGGAAGAGACAAAACATCACAGATGTTTATCATCGATGGCAGAATCTGGTACGCAAAAAACTGAACTCAAGTTGCTGTGTATCTCTCTCCTTGAATGCTTGCTGATCTTTTTATACACGTACTGTTTTGAAATGCAGAATCAAGACCGAGAATTGTGGAAGCTAGGGACGTTGCCGCCTGGTCTCATCACATTTTGGAAAAGAACATACCCGATAGACCGGAAATGGCACATCCTGGGGCTTGGATACAACCCGAGTGTGAACCAGAGGGACATAGAGAGAGGAGCCGTCATACACTACAACGGAAACCTCAAACCATGGCTAGAGATTGGGATTGCAAGATACCGAGGCTTCTGGTCAAAGCACGTCGACTATGAGCACGTTTATCTCAGAGAATGCAACATAAGTCCTTAGAATTAGAGTCTCCATTCACGAGCACTGTAATATGTTTTCAATTTTTATTTCATTTGTTTTGATGCGATCAACAAACCAAAAGTGTAGATGACACGGTGAAAAAAACAGTCGTTCCGACCAATGTAATGTTGTTGTTGAAACATATCAGCCAGAGGAATCAAAACCATACTATCCTTTTTTTTTTTATGTCCTCCAAAAAAAGCTTGAGAAGAATTAACTGTGTTGGGAATATAAGAAAGTAAATTTTTGTTTTGTGTTTACCAAATTACAGCACAACACGACATATATATCCATTGTTCATGCTTTGTGGCAGCGTCTATAATTAGAGAGTTGTGATCACCTAACTAATAGGAATAAAGGATAGACAACAAGTACATGTGATACACTCAAACCTATAGATGCCACGTGATACACAACTTCATAGATCGTCTCCTGAAACTTTGTCCAATCGGGCTTCAGCACCAAGCAGTGATGTAGATGGATGGTCAAAGGCGAGAGCATGGTCTGAGTGATGGTAAGAAGCGCTCAAGCCTGATTCTAGTATTGGATGCGCCACTACCATCTCAGGTGTGTAACCAGCTCCACCTCTCGTCAATCTAGGCTTCTTTGATGATCTCTCTTCTCCTCCGCTCTCATCTTGAGACCCAATGTTACATCCCGAGTCCGGTGTCAGAGGCTCCCGGTAAGATGAATGAGACTCGTCAACTGAAAGGCTCTTGTCTTGTCCACATTCCTTGCCAGACTTATCTTGTAAGGGAGACTCGGATGTTGGGGCAGGGGTTGCAGGATCTGATTCGCCTGTTACTGGGCCTGAAGGTTCGGCAAGAACTCCACTGAGTCGTTGTTGCTCTTCTATTATCTTCTTCAAGTACTTCCCTTGTGCTTCTATCCGTAGCTGCAACTGTCTTTGCACCTACAAAAAAATCAAAGAATGTCAGAGGCATCCCAACTGCTAAGCTAATATTGCTCCACAGATTAATTATTCGTTTTCCTATCTCTTTCTTTTAAGTAGCATGTTGAATCGTACTTCTAGTTGCTCGTGCAATCGTTTCTGAACTTCCATCTGCAACTTCAGGGCTTCAGTTATCTGCATTCCCCTGTAGTCAAAAAGTTACATAACATAAGCCGCTTTCTGAGACACTTAATCTGAAGCACCAGGCAGTAAGTAGCATTACAAATCAACTCAAACAATGAAAATTTTCACGTACGATGAACCATCCAACCCAGAGAGCACGTCTCCAGATTCTTTCTTGTCAGTTTTTTTCCCTGAAAGATTTTAAAGTACCACTTTAAGGCAAATAGGCTACTGGGAACATGAGATAAAAAGAAGGAAACCAATGTCCAACTACCTTCAGAGGACGAATCTGGCAGATACTTTGCAAGTCGATATTTCTGACACACAACACATTTGTAAAAATAAGTCAAATAACTCGTTGATGCATATATACACGGTACTGTTATCATTTCGTTATACCTGTAAGTGGCTCTTGACATGATATATAGTCAATCCTTGTACACCCATTACTCTAAGAACGCCTTTTGGTGTAGCTCCTTTGCAAAACAAAAAAGAAATATATTCAGTATCCCTATCCAAAGAAAATAGCCTTTCCCTCTCATGAGTACTAAGCAATTACTATACAAAGGATTATAGGAAGCAAAAAAGGAAACTCACTATCAGGGCCACCAAGTTGAGCTACAGCATCAACGAAGCGTTCATGTAGCTCATGCGTCCAACGCAAACGCTGTTTGGATGCATGACTAGAATTGTTCCCTCCGTTTTCTGCTTCCATCAGGCTAAGATATGTTGTTGCAACTTGCAAGCTATAAATGAAATGAAGATAACATTTAATTGCAGTTATGGCGAGAGACTTCTGAGAGAAGACAGATATACAAAAGGATCATTTTTTAAGACTTGAGGACTTAAAAGAGTGTCACTTGTTACCACCGATACAGTCAGAGATAAAACTAAACCGAATTCGAATTAGTCGATTAGACGATTACTATGTAAAAATAGTGAGCACTCACTAGCTTCAAATCAGAAATCGGAGGGAAACTTCGCCGGAAATTAAGAAGGAAAAGGAAATCGAAGAACCTGTGGGTGGATCTATACACAAGAATCAGACGGCGTTCACTCCATTTCCGGAAGTTGCGTTTCTTCTCCGACTATTCCGACACTCCTCCAATCGAATCTGATATAGGTTCTGTCTATATGTGGTTGGTTGGCTACTGGATTTTACTCAGTCGTCTAATTCCGATTAATCATGGGCGGCGATGCAGCAGAGTCCTCCACCGAAATTTTTCCAGTCGTCGTCCTTGCCAGACTCTTTCTGAGAGATTTCGATAGATCGAATTTGAGGCAGTGGCATTGACTATTATCGTACCTGTTTTCAATTGGCTCGATCTAGGCCCATTAAGGCCCAAACATTATATCAATTTTTGTGGGTCCTACTCAGCTAGAACAGCCAGCGACTCAGCAGCTGCTTCTCTTCTCCCGCTTTTCCTTTCCAAGCGCTCGCCGAGAAATCCTCCTCCTTCCCCGGTAATGGCGGCCATGGATTTCAGTAAATTGATCCAACTCTCTCTCTTCTTCTCGCTTCTTCTTCTCCTCTCTTTCCACTTTAAATTCGCAGAATCCTCCGTCCACATCTACCCTTCCCAGCCTTTCCACGATGTCGGCAATTCATTCCTCCTCTACGGCGGCAGCGAAGGCATCTTCGCCTCTTCCCGATCTTTCATCAGGTTCGAGAACATCACTCTCTGGAGGACAAACGATGCATTATTCAAAAGTCGCTATAACGGGTTAGTTCAAGCAGTGATCTTTGAGGCCTCAGATCGTAACAACATCGGTGGTTCAGCTTACGGCGGCCAGAGATCTATCTGCTGCACTCCAGATCTGGCCAAGCTCCAAGGCTGTAAGCAAGGTGAGATCATTAGGATCCCATCTTCACACGACCCTAAATGGCCTCTCCTCTTACGCATCCGCTTCAAAGGAAAACGCTCCTTCGCCAAGATGGAAGACACTGAGGTTCTCATCAGGAAGACCGGAATCTACAACCTCTTGTTTATCTCGTGTGATCCGAAGCTGAAAGGGCTTCAAATGACTGGAAAGACCGTTTGGAAAAACCCAGAGGGATATCTTCCTGGTAGGATGGCTCCACTGATGAAGTTCTATGTGTACATGTCTTTCGCGTATTTGTTGCTCAGTGCCGTTTGGTTCGTCCAGTATTTGAGGTTTTGGAAAGATATATTGCCACTTCAACATTGCATAACAGTGGTTATTGTTCTTGGATTGCTTGAGATGGTGTTTTGGTACTTGGATTATGCGAATTTCAACAACACTGGGACGAGGCCCTTGGCTCTTACTACATGGGTTGTTACAGTTGGTGCTTTCAGGAAAACTGTTTCACGCATTCTCATACTCTGTGTTTCCATGGGGTTTGGGGTTGTCAAGTCCACTCTTGGTGGTCTCACTTCTAAAGTGCTTCTCGTTGGAGTTACTTACTTTGTAGCTTCTGAGATGCTTGATATAGCTGAGAATGTTGGTATAATTGACGATATTTCTGGAAGGGCGAAACTTTTTCTTGTCTTGCCGGACGCTTTCCTGGATGCATTTCTCATTTTGTGGATATTTGCTTCTCTTTCGAAAACACTAGAACAGTTACAGGTATCTTTCTTCTTTCTAAATTAGCAACTCTGTGATCTTACTCTGTAAGCTATATGGTTCTCAGGCAATATACAAAAACAGATTAGCTTATCAGGTAATTTCTTATGCAGATGAAGAGGACCTCAGTGAAGTTGGATATTTACCGGAAGTTCTCAAATGCTCTTGCTGTTATGGTTGTTGCCTCTGTTGCTTGGATAGTGTATGAGGTAAGCCTGATTTGATACTGATATAATAAACTGTATTAACTCAAATACTACTTGGGGAAATGACTGCTCAAGCTAGAAAAGAATAATATTTCTTGGAATGTATCTGGCTTGCCTGATTGATTTTGTGCCTTGCAGGTGTATTTCAAAGCAACAGATCCATTCAATGAACGATGGCAGACTGCTTGGACTATAACTGCCTTCTGGGATGTTATTGCCTTCGTGTTGCTTTGTATTATTTGCTATCTCTGGACCCCGTCGCAGAACTCTCAAAGGTAATGTTATTGTTTCACACAAACTTTAAAGATTTTGATACCAACAAAGAAGCTTGGTTTTGTAAACTGAGAGTTTCTTACTGTAATGGAAACCGTACCAGCTGAGCATGTTGTGTGGCTACATGCTAATGGTTCTTATGTAGTGGTCCAATTTATTGTTCGTACATGTGACATGGACGCTAATGTGAAACTAATGATTGGACAGATATGCGTATTCGGGAGAAGTGGATGAAGAAAACGAGGAAGTTCAATCTTTGACAGGGGGGAAGCAAGATGGTGATATCAGCTTAGTTAAGCTAGAGAAGAATGGTGACTCGGACAGCGAAGAAGATGTTGAAGAAGATAAGAGGGAGTGAGAGTCAGTAGAGGAACTGGCTTGGCATCTGTGCCTTTGATCATAAGTCCCACTGAAGTAGAAATAGAGCGTCTTTTCAGCATCAACTCGACTAAAAACAACAAAGCCACGACGTTTTTATACATACATCTGTAACAAAAGGAGAGTGATTATGTTTTACTGTGTGTTTGTATCTCATGAGGCCTGTCCTCTTTTGTTTTCTTGTACATAAATGCTTTTGTTTCTCACCCAAAGAATCAGTTTCTCTAAAATCTAAGAATTAAAACCAACTGTGATGAAGCAATTTGCCCTTAAGTTCATCCAACATCTAAATCATCTTTCTCAGTACAGATTAACTCATGCATCCGACTTTGATCTACTCGAATTTGGAATTGATTTTGGTGACGATGTAATGTAAGATGAGGAAGAGAGATTGAGATTTGCCTCGGTTTATAGTATCCCTTTATTTTATTGTGGTTAAAATGGTATATTGTGAATTATTAAGTCGTCAACATTGTCAGGACGCGTCCTCTCTCTCTCTCTCTCTCTCGCTCACCTTTTTTTTTCAACACCGCCATTGAAGTGAGACTGGGAAGGGAGAGAGAGCTTCCTGCTTTCACTTATTATGCCTCCTCCTCCTCCTTCCAGACCGGTTCTCAACGGAAACGGCCACATCGGTCATCACGGACATCACCCTCCGGTTGCTCAGCCGGTTAGGCATCAGCAGCCGTATTACCGGGGCTACTCGTCGTCGTCATCGGCGTCGCTGAAGGGATGCTGCTGCTGCCTGTTCCTGCTATTCGCGTTCCTGGCGCTTCTAGTACTGGCGGTGGTGCTGATCGTGATACTGGCGGTGAAGCCGAAGAAGCCTCAGTTCGATCTGCAGCAAGTGGCAGTGGTTAACATGGGAATCGTTCCGCTGAATAGTCCCAACCCTAGCGTTCTGGATCCGACCTCCGCCTCCCTCTCCTTCACGATTCGCATGCTCTTCACCGCCGGGAATCCGAACAAGGTCGGAATCAGGTACGGAGAGTCCAGCTTCACGGTCATGTACAAAGGCATGCCGCTGGGGAGAGCGACGGTGGCGGGATTCTACCAGGACGCGCACAGTACGAGGAACGTGGAGACCACCATTGCCGTCGATCGAGTCAATCTTATGCAAGGTAACGCCGGCGATCTCGTCAGAGACGCTTCCTTGAACGACCGAGTCGATCTCACCATTCGCGGAGACGTCAGCGCTAAGATCCGAGTCATGAATTTCGATTCCCCCGGTGTTCAGGTTCTTCATCTTCTCCATTTCCTTCTCAATTCCGTCGCACAAAGATTTAGCTAGCTCCTCCATTGGGGATCTGGCTTAGTGGGAACACAGAGATAGAAATTACCACAAACCGTAAAAAAACAAACAAATTGCGGGTAAAAAAGAAAGATTTGTTGTTAAGTTAATAGATTCCTTACACCGACCACCACCACAAGCCCCCACTCTGCTTTCCTTTTAGCCTTTGCTTCTTTTTCACTTTTGATTTTTTCTTAGGATCCACGTATGCACTGCCTAAAAGCTAACATATTGAGCTGTAAAATTACAACAAAATTAAAGCCGGTTAGTATAATTAAAATTTTAAAAACTGACTAGAAGTCCTAATCTGGTCATTGTGTTGCTTATTAGGAAATCCACTTTTAATGTATTTAAATTCCGTTTTATTTGACTGTATTGATGCGAAGAGAGTGATGCATTTTTGCAGGTATCGGTGAATTGTGGGATAGGCATTAGTCCTAAGAAGCAAGCTTTGATTTACAAGCAATGTGGCTTTGATGGCCTCAGCGTCTAATCAAACTATATAACATAATATTTTATAATTCTACTGACCACTCCCAAACTGTTTGGAGGTTACAAGATCCAGCCAAACTGGTAAAGAAACCATTTGGGATTTTTTTTTTGTATGTGTCCCTTTTGTAAAAGCAAAATTTGAAATAGCAACAAAGTTTTTTACCAAAGATACTAATTCAGTAATTACTCATGCTGGAATATCCCTTGACCACTCTTAAGGTGCATTTGTTTCTGTATGCATACAGAAATATGTAACCTTCTTTATGTAAAATTCAACCCAACACAAAAACTACTAGACAAGTCGCAGTCAATTCCTACGAATTTTACCGAAATCCAAACAATATAACTCTTTCTTTTTGCATTTTGATATTTCGAGTTTACTCAAGAGAAGAAATGGTCCAGTAAGATCATGCCACGTGACCATCAATAATCACCGTCGCCTACGATCAGATCTTCTACTAACGACGGTGAAAGTAAAACCTCCCCGATCTTCGGCGGCTCTGCTGGTGTACGGGTACGGCCGAGAAAGTTGTTGGTGTAAGCCTCTTGCGACGGAGACAACCACGTACTCTCTGAAACTCCGATCGATGGCGATGGTGATCTTGCTGGTGTACTGCCGAAAAAGTTGATGTAAGCCTCTGGAGACGGTGATAACCACGCGCTCTTTGAAACTCCAATCGATGGCGATGGCGACTCCGTCGGCGAATCAACGGTGAGATTCTCGAGGTCAGGCCCAGAGAATCTGAATGGGAGAATATCGGCGAGACCGTGGACGGCGATATGCTGGTCATAGGAAAGACCAGGGAGAAGAAGTTCCACGCCGTCGAGATAAACGGAGTCGGAGGAAGAAGACTTGGTGAGAAGGAGACTGTGAGAAGGGAGCAAGGTTGGGATAGAGGAGGCGTTAGGGAGCGATCGGAGCTCGGAAAGCGGGAGGCGGAGGGGTATGGCGTGGAGACGGAGGGTGGAGATGTAGAGGGGGAGAGAAAACGTCATGTCGAGGTTAAAAAGCATGGCGTCGGTGGGGCCGAGGAGGGTAAGAGACTCAGCGGAGAGTAGATCGAAGAGTATATCGGAGGTGGTGATGGCGTTGGCGAATAGAGCACGGCCTCTGACGCGAAGGACTGATATGGCCGTTTCCAGCTCTTCCGATGGGACTGCGCCGGAAGGAAAAGGGAGGAGCCAGAGCAAGAGAGCGACGACGAACAAGGTCGTGAGATACACGGACGAATTGATCGCCATTGTTGTGATTCAACTCAAAGAAAGGAGCCAAAAGATTAATAGTGAAAGAGAATCGAAGAAGCAAGAATGAAGAAGCAAGAAAGATGAAGCAAGTCGTTGCCGGTGACGGTTACGATGTAGCAACGGAATCCGAGAGTCTGTTTATGTTATTTTTGCTTCGACATTAATTGTTATTTTTAACATTTTGGGCTTGAGGATGTTGAACACTAATGGGCTATTATTTGGTGCAGGCCCATATTGTTCGTCTGGTACTGCAACTGGAAATGGCGAGTAGACGTAGAAGAAGACGATGAAATTTGGGGGAAATCTAATCGGAACATTGATAAGGTTTGTCGCCATCGCCCGGCTATAATCCATAAGGTAATGTCTCAATTCCTTCGAAGGATCAATTTTTAATTTCTTGATCTACAGATCTCTGCTTTCGTTGTTAACTTCACTTTTGGTATGCTGATCCATATCGTTGGTCTTTTAGCTTTCGAATTATCATATAAAAACATTTACGTTGATAATCTCTGACATAAATTTTATCCTTTTCTCTCAGATTTTCCCAGCGGTCATTTTCTTTCCAAATATCGCCATGTAAGTTCGTTCTTCTTCTGCACGCAATTCTCTGGATTCTGCGTTATAATCCTATTACCCTTACATATCTTCCTTACCAATTTTCATTATTAGATCTCTGGTAATTTGTAACCATCCAATAAGATTGTAATGGGTCTGTGAGGAGATATGCATATAAGCTGACTAAGAAGTATGTTATTGTTACCGATAGTAAGTTGTGTGGTATGCAGGTGGAAGTTCTAAGTATAACACATCGTCTTATAGTTTGTTGAGTAATACACAATACCTCTCTCCATTGTTTTGCTTTGCATAATCATATATTTTGAAGGGTTTTGACTTTTGAGAGCTGTGTGTATGTTCATGAGAGTTGTTTAGTAAAATGGAAACTCGAGCTTCGTTACTTAAGCAGCCCCTACTTTGACATAGTTATGAACATGTTATAACTAGTTGGCCATTACATTAGTTGGCGTCTCTTAACGTATGTTGTAATTCGGATGATTACAGGGCAGATGAGGAAGCTGTTGATCAGAAAAAGCACCTTGAGGAATCTTGCAAACCAAAATGTGTGAAGCCACTACTTGAATATCAGGTGAATAGGCATACAACTTGAGCTGGTCATTGGTCATAAGTCATAACCTTGTTTTGCAATCAATATATGAGGGTGTAATGTTGCTTATATCACACGGCGTGAGATGTGGTTGAGCTATAAGATATTTCTTGTTGTGGTTTCAGGCGTGTGTCAAGAGGATCCAAGATGATGACTCTCGCCACAAACATTGCACTGGGCAGTACTTTGATTACTGGCATTGTGTTGACAAATGTGTAAGTTGTTTGAGTTGTGTTTTATTCTGTCTTTATGCACCTAAATAAAAGTAAAAGTTTCATTCTAAATATGAAAACGGCTTTGTTGATATACATACAGGTCGGCCCTAAGCTGTTCCCGATGCTAAAATGACAAAGAGAGAAAGTTGGAGTCTTGAGTCTGTGTCTTGTATCTTTTTTTGTTTTCTATCCAAAAGGTTATATAAAAATGCAGTGAATGATGTGCATTACTGCAAACACACTTGATTCCTTGTTTTTGTTTCTCTGGCAAAGCTGCGATTTCTTTGTTTGTGTCGGTTGGTGAAAACCTTTATGAGATTCGTGTCTCCGTGATAGTTAATTTTCTCTCATGATAGTGATACAGCTCACTCAATGAACTTTTTCTTAATACTATGTTTAAGCGACAAAACTTAAAATCAGTAATTTTTTTTTTGGCTTCATCCAAACATCGATAGTTAAACACTTAAACTTGTTTTATTAGATTTGTGATACATGCATACATTGTATAATTAAGTATAGATGTAAATACCCTTAATACATCGACATAGAACATTATGCTCTGATACAACTTGAGAAACACAGTCTGCACTTTTTTGGGTTTCCTCCTCTTCCTCTTTGGCATTCTGGAAGTGAATAACAATACTTTATGCATTCTTGGACGATATCTTGCTCTGGCATTGCTGGTTGCATTCTGCATACAACCAAAAAGTAGAATTTCAACGTAGACATACATGCACATTTTAGTTATTTAAAATTAACATAGTACGGATGTAAGGTACTTTATAAAAAACTAAAAAAAATGGAAGGTTTTTTTTAATGACATCCAACAAAATTGGAATGATACAAAAAGATTAATATATATCATGTATAAGTAATAAAGTATAATCTGGAAGTAGAGATCTTAGAGTAAGATACGTACGGTGGGGGAGATGCTGGTGCGTGAGAGTTTTCATTAAAACTCATCCCATTGCATGCGTTTAAACGACATCCCATCATTATCAATGTCATCATAAGCATAGTCATAAACACTTTTTGCGCCATATTTTTTTTCTCAGACTTGGATTTCAAAATACAGTTGTGTACCTGTTGTTTGATATTGTACAGAATATGTAATAGCACTTCTATCTTTGTAGATTATATGATGGTTTAAATTGTTCCCTTATGGTATCAGGGTCATAAGTTTTATCCAGTTCTCTTTTTTTTTTGTAATTTACAGGTCTATTCTTCAAGTCTATGTTTCCTTATAAATATTATTGTCTGCAGAAAAATAAGAATGAAATATACTTAGATGGTAGAAAACTGTTTTCTGTATTTTTTTACTGTTGACTATTGACTAATGCTGAGACTAAAACAGCTTGGTCAACAAAAATTTAGGGTTAAAATGGTTTGGTCAACAAATTTTTTAAAATGTTTGATATTATGCATATATAACTCATTATTTAGATACAACCAAAATGATTGGTCTAACAATCTAATTAGGTGACAAAAAAACAAGAAACGATTTAGATGAGTGATAACATAACTGGACATATGACCGGGTTTAATTTCCGGTTTGGTTTAAAAACAAATAATATGATGAATTAATAAATTATTTTTGTTTATAATTATTTGAATCTTTAGTTTATGTTAGATTAGAAGTTATTTCACGATTATTTTTTCTAATACTATTTTTTTTTTTGACCATAAGGCTTTCTTTAATTAATGCAGAAGAAATAAAAAGATTTACAAGTCCATAGGCTCTAGTGTTTAAGCATCAGCCCAAAGCCAAGCAGTTTACTAATAATTGAACCAGCCCATATTAATGAAAAGCCCAACACCAAAGGGAAAAGAAGTTGAGAAGTTGTCGGATGAAGGGGAAGAAGCGAGTAGTGTGATTAGGCGATTTGATCCACCTTCTCATCACGGAGTCGCCGTCGCTAGCCAAGTCTGCAGAAGCTTTGACGCGAGACCCGGGTTCGTGTCTCTGAGGCCGGCTATTTTGTTCCTGATCTGACGATCAATCTGGGAGTTGATAGATTCCATGGAGCAGAAGACTTGCCGGTGCATTACGCTCATGCCATAGCCAGTAAATCGAAGCTTGCCAAGCTAGTCGCGCCAATCTATTTCGGAGCTTTCCCAAAGCTAAAGTCTGCATCTCGCATTTCTAATACTATTATATCTATATTTATACCTATATATCAACTTTTAACTATTTTTAGTTTTATTTTAAAATTTACATGTTTGAAAATAAATATAACATAAATTATTATGAATCATGACCCATATGCTTATCCGGTTCAACTTCCGGTCCAGTTTTAAAAACATATTTAAGAGCCAAAATGAAGCGAGAGTATGTACAGAGTAGTAACCAAGAACACAAACTAAGGATCATGATGGACACTCATAACGCCATTTTATACCTTCTTTCTTATTTGAGAACGGAAGAAACTCTAATTTGATGAAAGTACGACCTTTACAAACCCAAAGTATGAGAAGCAATTTGATATCCAGGAGAACTCAACCAAGATAAATAAAGAATCCGTTCAATAGTGGTTAGACTTGTAACGAGAAACACATGATATGTGCTCATCTCGTAGGGCCATAAATAGCACAACACATAGGATAAAAGGCTAAAACATAGATCAATGCATTATAAGAAATAAAATATACACAATACATTTTAATTTTCTTTCTTTCTCATGTTTACTAGGAAGGTGAGGTTTATATTTTCATTTTTTGTTTTGCTGTGACAAATCTATGGTCCTCTTTGATTTTAAAAATAGATATATTATCATGTATTCCCTCCGTTTCAAATTAGTTGTCGTTTTAGCAAAATGTATCTGCAAATATTTGGACGTATCTGCAATGCAAAACACGTCCAGATACGTCCAAATATTTGCATATACATTTTGCTAAAACGACAACTAATTTGAAACGGAGGGAGTATATAATATTAGTTTAAATAGACTTTTTTTGTCCATACAATATTGTCTATGAATAAAATATTGGATTAAACGGTAAAAATTAAGCATAATTTTGAAATTTTATAATTTTAATCCTGTCAATGTGCTGGTTCATTTTCTAGTTATTTAAAAAGGATAATATGCGTTGTGACAACATGTTACAAAAGATTTACTTTTCCAAGATAGTTATTATACAAAATCAAACGATAGTTCAGTTATAAAACCACATTCCAAAATTATAACCTCGTGACAGTTTTCAAAAACCCAATCTCCTCCTTCTTCTTGCTTATATAGAACCACATTCTTTCATCTTCCTCAAACACAAACACAATAATAACAAAAACAAAATATCAAGATCTCTGAATCGATATGAGTAACCTCAAAGACGAAACAGCGGCTAAAGATGTCGCGGTTTTAGAGACAAAGTCGTCGATTGTCCCTGCAGATTTTGGTGAGCCATCGCCACTGAAAAAAATTATATCGATGGCTTCAATCGCTGCCGGTGTACAGTTTGGGTGGGCCTTACAGCTCTCTTTGCTGACTCCATACGTTCAGCTACTTGGAATCCCACATAAATGGTCGTCTCTCATTTGGCTCTGTGGCCCCATATCTGGCATGCTTGTCCAGCCAACCGTCGGTTACTACAGCGACAGATGCACCTCCAGATTCGGCCGTCGCCGTCCTTTTATTGCAGTCGGTGCCATCCTTGTCGCCGTCGCTGGTATTCTGATCGGATACGCCGCTGATCTTGGCCGCTTAGCTGGAGACAATCTCGAAAAGACTCCAAAGGTACGAGCCATATGGTTCTTCGCTCTAGGTTTCTGGATTCTCGACGTGGCCAACAACACCCTCCAAGGACCTTGCCGCGCTTTCCTTGCCGATCTCTCTGCAGGTGACGCTAAGAAAACGCGGACCGCAAACGCGATTTTCTCTTTCTTTATGGCGGTTGGAAACATTTTGGGATACGCTGCTGGATCCTACACTAACCTCCACAAGATGTTTCCTTTCACGATGACTGAAGCATGTGACATCTATTGTGCGAACCTCAAGAGCTGTTTCTTCCTCTCCATCATTCTTCTCCTCTCTGTCACGGTCACATCACTCTTTTACGTCAAAGACAAGCAAAGGTCTCCCGAGAAAGGAGCCTCCGACGTGGAAACTCCGTTCTTTGGCGAGATCTTTGGAGCTTTCAGGGTGATGGAACGTCCCATGTGGATGTTGATTATCGTCACCGCCTTAAACTGGATCGCGTGGTTCCCTTTTCTTCTATTCGATACTGACTGGATGGGTCGTGAAGTGTACGGTGGAGACTCTAGTGGAGACGACAAAATGAAGGACCTATACAACAAAGGAGTCCACGTTGGTTCATTGGGTTTGATGATTAATGCAATTGTTCTTGGAGTTGTGTCCCTTTTTATTGAATGGCTTAGTCAGAAAATGGGAGGAGCTAAACGGCTTTGGGGAGCTGTCAACTTTATCCTTGCCGTGTGTTTGGGTTTGACGGTTTTGATTACAAAGTTGGCGGAGGCTCACAGGAAAACCGCTGGTGCGTTTGCCGGTCCAACCGATGCGATTAGAGGTGGAGCATTGACAATCTTTGCTTTTCTTGGAATCCCTCTAGCTGTAAGTCCAGCTTGGCCTTTCATAATTTTTTTTTTCCAGTTATGATACTATTAATATCCACTCGTTATTATTATTTTTTTTAAACGTACTAACCATAATTTTTGGTTATTATGATAGGTTACTTTTAGTATTCCGTTTGCACTAGCTTCCATTATCTCAAGCAACTCCGGTGTCGGCCAAGGTATTTTAACTTTTTTTTTCCATTTTCTTATTTAATGCCTTATGTATGTTATGATAATAAATACTCCCTCTGTCCCATATTATAAGCATTTGAGCAAAATAAATCTGAAAAAAGTGGATGTATCTGGATGGAATTCAGTCCAGATACATCCATTTTTTTTCAGATTCATTTTGCCCAACTGCTTATAATATGGGACAGAGGGAGTATTACTTGAAACGTATGATGTTAGTAGTTATTTTGAGAGACCTTAATTTTCCTTTATTGACAAGAAAAAAACAACTAAAGAGTTTATGGATTTTTTTTCCACTATTTGGCTCATATCGACAAAATTATCCAAAACATTATATATTTTATTAATTGTATTAAAGATTTGATATTCATTGATTTTGGTCTAGTATATTGAATTTACCAAACCTGTATAGATAAGATCATAAGAAACAGATTCTTTTTAAGCTATTAAAGGATGTTGTTCAATTTTACAGGACTTTCTCTTGGAGTACTAAATTTGGCAATCGTGATACCACAAATGGTGGTGTCACTTGGAGGTGGGCCTTTCGATGCGTTGTTTGGAGGTGGAAACTTACCTGGATTTGTGGTCGGAGCAATTGCAGCGGCAGTTAGTGGTGTGGTGGCGTTAACAGTTCTTCCTTAGTTTTCTACTTGTTTGTTTCTTTTAATGGTCAACACTAGTATCATTGAATTAGGATGATTACAAATGAAAAATGTATAATGATAGTGTTTAACATTGCAAATATTGGAATATATTTATATTAATTACTTGTTTTTAAACATAAAATAAATTATAGAAAATTCATAATCAACACAGCAAAAGTCCTTGTGCCTCTCTAGGTGTTGACAGTTTTTTTAAGCTTTCTGAAACTGACATCTCATTAAAATCGTCCAGCCAATAAAAACATTTCATTTAATCTTAGTCAGCAACTTTTCTGGTTTAGCTGGCCACGTTTTGACCCGATTTTGATTTATAGATTTTCTTCAACCGGACCGGTTACGTTGTCAAATTTTCTTCTTCTATCTTTTGAGATTTCTTCTCCGACTCTTCCGACGCCGCCCTTTTTGATTTACCTCCTTGTAGATACATACCAGATCCTGGTTTCGCTTAGGACGAAGCTCCGGTAAATACAATATCGAGTTAGTAGTAACCAGGTATTAATCTCACCTCCGATTCCGACTTCTCTATCTTCTTCCACCGATTGTTTTGTATGATACGACGAAGCATCGAGTTCTTCTTCTTCAACCGATCGAGTTCTTCTTCTTCACGGGCTCCATATAATATCGACGCTCTATCTTTCTTTTTTTCCGATTTGAGATTTGTTTTCTTCCTGTCATGTTTATCTGTTGAGATTTAAGTTTTCCGATTCTTTAAATGTTGTTACTTCGTTAAACGGAAGATCATATGTTTTTGTGTTGTCGTGGATTTGGTAGGAGCGGATTTAGCAGCAATTTCAAGCTCATATATTTGCGGTGATAAGTGGTTTCCATCAATTTGTGCTAATGTAAACCACCGGAAAAATGAAGAAGCATTCGGAGGAAGAAAAGGCGGTGGCTTAAATAACAAATCGGTTTCGAAATCGATCAGAGCCGGTTTCCAGTTTCCGGTGAACCATTCGTTCTTGAAGAAAGGACCCAAAGCTGGGTATTGGAGCTCCGATTTTCATGGCCACCTTTCTCGAGCATCTCGCCGCCAAAGTAAGTTTCTCGATTCTCTTTTTCTTCAGTTCTGAATTTTTATCGTGAAATCACTTTCTCATAATCAGGTATGGATTGTGACAGTCTCCGTTTGCAAATTAAGTTTAGCAGGAAAAGAGATAAGAAAAGGGAAATTGGAAGTTTAGTACCTGCAGCAGCTTAAGTGTCCAGAAGCAGAGTAAAGTGCAAGTCCTTCTCTTATTCATGCTGTAATGTTTTTCATTGCTGCGTTCTATTGTTGTAATAGAGTTCATGTGACTGCAAGCATGATCATATATTTCAAGTATTTGTTGTTAGTTGAAAGTTCTTTCTCATCTACATGTCTTCTTCACATATGCTATGGTTTTATCTAATGTTAAAAGCAATAAGCCAATAACTCCCTTTATTAGCTTAATTACTTACTGGAAAATTTTCCATCCCTCCATATGTTTTCCTTCCTCTGCTTAAGAGCACACTGAGATCTGACTTCCATGTTGCGGCAAAAAACTGTTGGGTTAAGGACGGAGGTGCTTTCACTGGTGAAGTGAGATGAGAGTCTCGCCACTGATGCCTACTATGGAGACTTTGATTGTTTCTTTGAATAAATAAAGCAAGTGGAGACTTTGATTGTTTCTTTGAATAAATAAAGCAAGTGAGTTTGGTGTCATAAACGAAACAAAACTAAGAAGCTAATGAAATAAAGAGGATTTAGCCGCAGTTTCTTCTAAAATTTAGGTTTGTATTGTACGTCTAAACATCAGCAACATATGATAAATCCTTAATCTTGAATCTTGCGATTGTGTAAATATGAGTGACACCTTATTTCTTAATTTGTGATTGTTTTTTTAAATATGATGCTCTGTTTGAGAAATCCTTAATCTAATATCTTACTGCTCGATGGACAAACCTATTATCGGGTAATCAAAAGCAGTAATGAAGGCTAATGTAGATGTGTTTTTATATTGATTCTTCTACTTATAGTGGTCGTCTGGTCGATGAGTTCGTGAAAATTAGAGTTTTTGATATAAAAATGTATATGGTATCGAGTATCGACATTTACCACAAAATAAGAAAACTTGTAAACTATAGAAATCAAACTAAATAGCATTCTATTAAGTAATTCGTTTAAATATTTTTTTAAAATATTTTATCTCAGAAGTATAATAAATATAGTTTATCTTATCAATATTATTTATTTATATATATAAATGACAATGAAATTGGAATTTGACAATAAACGTTGAATAGACAGGAAGCATAATAAATAGCAATTTACAAAAAAAAAATTATAAATTTGGCATAACTTATTTCCAAAATAAAATAAAAAACAAAAAAATTGTTTTAGTTATATAAAATATTGCGGGTTTAGATCAGGTATTAGAGGTAAAGGTCGGTAGAATAATAAATACTTTTACCCAAAAGTTATCCGTGAAATAAAAATTGGATATTAGTGGGTAAAGTTTGGATATAGACAAAATCATGTAGTTATAATCTAAATGGTTATTTTCATAATTAAAAATTTAAACAGATGGATGTAATTGTTAAGATCGGTAGGGTATAAAAAAACAATTACCCAAAATCCATGAAATAAAAGTTAGATATTAGCGGTAGTGGGTAAGGTTCAGATACATATAAAATCATGTAACTATAATCCAAAATCTTCCAATCAAAAACCATAAAAACAACAATGTGTATAACCAACTTATTGGGTCTGGGCATTACTCTAAATTGTTTTTACATCATGTAAAATTAATATAAGGAAAACAAATTAAAATATCAAAATGTAATATGAATAATTTAATCATTTATAACACGGAAAAAAAATTACAAAAACCTCCCGCTGCGAAGCGCGGGTATCCTACCTAATTATGTTAAAATTTAATCATTTAACCAGGTTGGTCTAATTGGAAACTTGAAGTTCTCTTATCATCTAAACATCTAAGTAATGAAGTCAAATAATGACAGTGTTTAACATTGCAAATATTGGTATATATATATATCTTAATTACAAGTTTTTTTAAACATAAAATAAATTATAGAAAACTCATAATTATGTTTAAATTCAATCATTTAACCAAGTTGGTCTAATTGGAAACTTGAAGTTCTCTTATCATCTAAACATTTGAGTAATCAAGTCAAATAAGAAAAACAAATATGACTAGTGACATGTCATTTCACTCACTTCTAAGATAGAAATATCATCGTCATTATTAAATTTAGAGATTTTTGAAACAATTTATGAAAAATATTAAAGAAAATATGAGTAGTCTTAACATAAATAAAATAATATTGAAAACCAGGTAAAAAATATATGAAAAAACATAAGATACTTCAGTTTGGCCGTACATATAATAGTCATGTAATGATTTTGTAGAAAGCAAGTTATAATCAGATATCTATTCTGATATTACGAATTAGAGACAAATCATCTTCATTGATTTCTTGAACTTTTGAAGACATGATTTACTTAGTCTTTTTCTTTTGTTTTTTCCAAGACATATGTCAAAATCTTAACAGGAGTAAAATTAAAAATCACACATATGACGATCTTGTAAATTATAATTATCCTACATGTCTCAACCACGTCTCGCTTATCATGATTTATATAATCAGATGTATATATATCTAACCAGTTTTGAAGTCGGATTTCAAAATCGTGTTCACACTCCCTAAATTTTAATTAACTATAAAATCCAATTATCTTCTTTTTTTTTTTTTTTTTTTTTTTTTGTTAAAGAGCACAATCATCTTTACCATCATACTAAATCAGCTTTCTTTTCCACATTTTTGAAGGGTAAATAAAAGGAAATATGTAAACTTAATTTAAATAAATAGAAGTGCGATAAGTGATGAAATAAGATGGAATATGAAAAAAAAATGTAAAAGTCAATCCAAATAGGAAACGAAGATGTAAACTAAAATCGAATAAGAGAGAAAAAAAAATCAATTTTATATAGTATTTTTTTTAACATTTATCAAAATCTAATCAGTTAGATAATATATGTCTTGTCCCATTTGTTATAGTTTTGCTATGTATCAACTGCTGGTAAAAACATTAAATCTTATATATAAAAGATTGCAAAGTCTCTCTAACTGTTTGATACATGGCACATATGAGATTAAAGATTAAAAACAAAAAAACTTAGATTTACAAAAACCGGAAACATGTGCATGTAAATATCTAACAGAAAAAAACGTAAGCAAATAAAAAAACTTCAATCGTGAAGTGAAAAACTCAGAATCTTAGGTGTTGATTAGTTTACCCGTTGTCATCCTCAAACGCTACGTTTTTGTGGTAGTATTCGAAAACAATCATGAAAAATGCTGTCTACTGGTTTATAGCGCTTCATAACTCTCTGCATTCCGCAAGCATTTGCCACTACGCACATTGTAATAAACTAAAAATAAAAATAAAAAATACTATAAAAATGAGAATAGAAATAATAAATTCTAAAAATCAGACTTTAAAATTATAATAGTAAAATATATAAAATCATTAAAACAAATTCTTTGGATAAATTATTTTTTTTTCAGCACAACTAATATCAGATATCAAAATTCAACAAACTAAAAAAATTGTAATCTTTATATCTTATATATAATTAGGGAGTTCCTCTTTCCATCTAGTATCCACATCAGCAAAAAAGTCATTAAATTGTATTTAAGATATTTAATATATGACTATTCATATTTCTTTATATATATTCATATTTTAAATATAAATAAAACTAAGAAAAATACACAAATAAATTACTTAATTAATATAAAGTATGTGATAACTTGATGTTAAAAGTTATCAAAAAGTTGGAATATAAAATGGAGATGGAGTAAATAAATATTTAACTTGAAATGAAATATATATATATATTATCTTATTATTCAAAGGATTTATCCTATTTCAAAATGTTAATATGTTTAAAGTTAAAAAGTTGAATATAAATTAATTAAGATAATAGAAAGCTAATGAGAAATTAGAGTTAGAGTTTTTTTTTTTAAACAAATAGAAGTCAAGTTTTTATATGTAAATTTAATTGCAGTGAAAAATATAAATTTTAAGGATTGTGATATGTTTGTTTCAAAAATATAATTATATATTTACAAAACTAACATAATAGAAAATAATCAATGGTCATGAGCTCACATGCTAGCTACCACAACAAAGTAGATATGTAAAAAGTATACATATTATTTTTTTCATCTTATTTCGGGTGCAAATGATTTTACATTATGCTTACAAATTTTAACGTTGAGTCAAATGCATATGCATGTTTATAGTCTAATAGTAAACAAACATAATATTTATAACATGCTAAAATTTTAAAATAGAAAACTCGAGATAAAGTGAGGTGTTAACATCCTAATAAAATAAAATAAAAGACAAATTGTTCATATTTTTGTGTTAGTGGTTGGTTTAACTCAAAACATAAAAAAACATGAAAATTAATACAAAACCATCATAATTCAAACAACGAGTATAAATAAAGTTAAATAGAAAAAAAATATCGCAAACAACCCCGCGCTTGCGCGGGGCTTCAAACCTAGTATTATTAATTAAGAAATACATGAAACAATTCTGACAAAAAAACCAATCTAATTATGAAGAGAAAGTGTTTGGCAACATGTTTAATAAGTGCCAATTTAGTATATTGTAATGTTTGGATACAAGAATAAGAGAAAAAGCTATTTGGATAGAAGAATAATAGGAAAAAATTGTTTGGATACAAGAATAATAACTTAAAACAAACCGATGATTTAAAAAACTTCTGTTTTCCAGCTCTTATATATCGATAATATCAAATCAATAGATGGATAAAGTTATAATTTCAATGGAAATTTTGTTGTTGTGAAATTTAATGTTAACTAGTAGAGGACCCGCGCAAACGCGCAATGTGACGTTGCGGTTTTGTGAAGAAAATCTAAATTCTAAACTCGAGGCAGACTCAAAAACCCTAATCAAATATTTTAAAAACAGAGACTTTTTTAATATGTCTAAACCCGGAAATATGAAGAGAAAAAAAATCTTGAAAATCCTGAACCGAATTAAAAAAAACACTACATTTTTTGAACTGAAACCCGAACCCGACCTAGAAACCCTAATCAAAATTTTAAAATACCCAATTTTTTTTAATATGTCTAAAAAAGATGTTTTTGAATTTTTTTACAGTTT